TCCACAACCGCTACACTAGCGCTCCGCTAGTTCGAATTTGAATCGAACTAGCGGAGCGCTTAGTTCGAACTAGGAAAACCTCATTTTATGAGGATTAAGCCTAATTCGAACTAGTGGGAGGCTAGCCCTCCCCAGGTTTCCCTGGTAGGCACTCTGGCCAACACCAGGGAAACTCTATGCCCCCCTCCCGGCCCCGGACCCCTTAAAGGGGCACGGGCTGGCTACGGTGCCCGTGCCAGGTGCAAGCCTGCCAGGACCCAGCCAGCAGACCCTGCACCTGGCACGGATTTAGCCACTAACTAAGTTAGTTCAAATTAATGTTGTAGTGTAGACGTACCCTTAGTGATTAGTCAGCAGTGTAGTCAGCAGTGTAACAGCTCCTAATTTGACATTGCCAGGTGGGGCCATTTAAAGCAGCATAAAGCATGCCTTAATTTGGTTTCTAGGATTGTTTTGAGTCCTGTTTTTACTCTTTATTCCACCATTCATTTCCCAAGCACAATAAGCCGCTGACCAGGATACACCCACCCATGGCTCACCGTGACACAAAAAAGTGGATAAGTGATGTAGGGCCACCTCTGTTTTCCTCTTCAGTGTGAGCCACTAGGCACAGGAAAGTGGCCGTCTAGGGCAGGAGAGCTGCCAGCCTGGCCACCCAGGACCAGGTGTGCATGAAAATCAAGGGGGTCCACTGAGACCCCCGACACTGAGCCCTGAGCTTACAATGGCCGTACTGGGTCAGACCAAAGGTCCATCTAGCCCATAGCCTGTCTGCCGACAGCGGCCAACCCTATGGACCCTGGAGGGGATGGACCGAAGACAGTGACCAAGCCATTTGTCTCGTGCCATCCCTCTCCAGCCTTCCACAAACTTTGGGCAGGGACACCACTCCTACCCTCTGGCTAATAGGACTCCATGGACCCAACGTCCATGACTTGATCTCACTTCCCTTTAAACTCTGTTCTAGTTGTAGCCTTCACAGCCTCCTGCAGCAAGGAGTTCCACAGGTTAACTATTTGCTTTGTCAAGAACAACAACTTTCTCTTACTAGTTTCAAGCCTGCTACCCATTCCTTTCCTTTGGTGTCCTCTAGTCCTTCTTTATGGGAACTCAGGAAGAACTTTTCTGAATGCACCCTCTCCACCTAACCCCTGCTTTTAGAGACCTCTATCCTGTCCCCCCTCCGTCTCCTCTTTTCTAAGCTGAACAGTCCCAGTCTCTGTAGCCTCTCTTCATCTGGGGCCTGTTCCCAACCCCTGATCATGTTAGTTGCCCTCCCCTCTCCCAGCCTTTCTCTTCCCCTCTCCCACCTCCTTTTCCCAGTCTCCCCCAGTTTTGTTCAATAAAGACAGAGTCAATGTTGGAAGAAATGTTATCTTTATTTTGTACATCAATAAGAAGGGGGGCTAGGGAAGGGTAAGTGGAAGGAGGTGAGGGAGGAATGGGGTACGAGCCCCCGATGGGGAGGACTGGGCTGGCTCTGCGGGCTTCTGGGGGTGGAAGCTCTCCTGCAGCCCCCCGATTGCCCCCTCTCCCCAGATCGCAGCCTGCGGCAAGTGCAGCCGGTCTGATGGCCGAGTGGTGTGATGTGCCCAGTGTGGGTACTCCGGGCAATCCAAGCCAGGACTGCTTTGCAAGCGGGGCACCCCTTAGAACTGTCTGTCCGGGGTGGGGGTCGGGACCCTTTAAGCGCAGCCCTCGGCTAGCCTGAGACAGCATCTCCACGCTCTAAGTCCTCCTCTGATGCCCTGCCGGCACTGCTTCCGGCCCTCCTTAAGCCCTGTTCAGAGTCCACTCAATGTGGACTTGCTAGTTCGAATTAGCAAAACGCTAATTCGAACTAGTTTTTAGTTCTAGACGCGTTAGTTCGAATTAGCTTAGTTCGAATTAACTAATTCGAACTAAGTTAGTTCGAATTAGCGCTGTAGTGTAGACATACCCTATGTTAGGGATTCTTTCATCAGACTTCTCGGTGAAGACCAAAACAAAGAAGTCATTAAGCATCTCTGCCATTTTATTTTAACTTCTAAACCTACCCCATTTTCACTGGCATTCACTATGTTAGGCATCTGATCACCATCAATCTTCTTGGTGAAAACTGAAACAATGAAGTCAGTAAGCACCTCTGCCATTTCCAAGTTTGCTGTTACTGTTTCTCCCTCCTCACTGAGCAATGGCCCTACCCTGTCATTGGTCTTCCTCTTGCTTCAACTATATTTATAGAAAGTTGTCTTGTTTCCCTTTATGTCTGTAGCTAGATTGAGCTCGTTTTGTGCCTTTCTAATCTTATCCCTGCATACCTGTGCTCTTTGCTTCTGTTCATCCTTTGTAATTTGTCCTAATTTCCACTTTTTATATGACTTTTTTTTATTTTTAGATCATGCAAGATCTCCTGGTTAAGCCAAGGCGGTCTTTTGTCATACTCTCTATCTTTCCTACGCAGCAGAATAGCTTTCTTTTGGACCCTCAATAATGCCGCTTTGAAAAAAAAATGCCAATTCTCTTCAGTTGTTTTTCTCTTCAGTTGTTTTGCTTCACATGGGACCATACCTATCAGCTCTCTGAGCTTAACAAAATCTGCCTTCCTGAAATCCACTGTCTCTATTTTGCTGTTCTTCCTTCTACCATTCCTTACAATCATGAACTCTATGATTTCATGATCAGTTTCACCCAAACTGCCTTCCACTCTCAAATTTTCAACCAGTTCCTCCCTATTTGTTAAAATCAAATCAAGAACAGCTCCTCTTCCCCTCCCCTCCCCCTCTCCGGTATCTTTCTCAACCTTTCTAAAATAAAAAATTGTCTCCAGTGCAGTCCAAGATCTAGTTGGATAATCTGTTCCCCGCTGTGTTACTTTCCCAACATATGTCTGGACTGTTGAAGTCCCCCATCACCACCAAATCCTGCACTTTGGATGATTTTGTTAGTTGCTTAAAAAGGTCTTATCCACTTCTTCTGCCTGTTT